GTATTGGACAATTATACTATAGATTTAATTTTATTGATGTTTTAAAAATACATGATTCTACTAAAAACAAATAGGTATGACATTAAACAATAGATCTCAAAGTGCTGTATAAGTTATGTCTCTTTTGTAAGTCGAGTATTGCTTTGATATAGTAATACATAAGGAGAGACTTCTTGACTCTTTCTGTCTATTGTTGCCTTCATTTGATGAATGAGTTAACGATTTTATGCGAATATGAGTCGTCAGTCCACGAAAGAGTGCTTTTCTTAACTTTCGGATACAATATATTTTAAATAATTCTTTATTTTGCTTACTATTAAACTTTGAAGACATATTGTGCGATAAGATCTGCAAAATCTGTTTTGTATTTTTATGCTATTTTTTACTGAAACTCAAATTTTAATTCTTAATATAAATTCTGTCTATTTGTAATAAATTTATTTTATTTTTTACATAGAGTTTTAATATGGAAATTATTTTATTTATGTTAACTTAAACAATTATCAAAATTTATTATATTCAATCTTTTCGCTTATTTTGCTTATGTATTAATTTTAAGTTCATTCATTATTCAAACAATCTTTCTTATTTAAAAAATCAATTACCAATTCTTTCTGTAATATAAAGACACTGTACTAAAGTGAATGCATTAATAAAAATAAGTATTTTCCAGCTCTTTTGGACTTAATTTTAATGTAATCTTTTGGGTCAATAAAAACGGAAAGGAAGGGCAGTTGGCGTCCAAATAGGATTTGGTTAAGTAAGGCAAAGACAACAGTATCACAATCTAGTGAACAGTATTCTGCATATTGTGTGCACTTCTATGAGATGCGAGTATTGGATGCATTAGTTATCGATGCGGTTGTTATGGAGACAGAGACAGCAACAGCTGCCAGACATCGAGCCATTCAAAGACACCAATGCTTTGCACGAAGAATAAGACATCAATTTATATAAATTGTTTTCTATCGTATATTATATAATATACCAGTTACTATTTCACAAATTATATTATACAATATACATTTGTACACATTTCTAATCAAACCATATACATTTATTCACAAATATAATTATTAATTTTTAAATATAAGCTTCAAACTTTATAATAATTTATAATATTAAATTTAAAAATTTAAAAATTCTGTTGAGTACAAAAATATGTTCATTTTGAAGTTATATCACAAACATGAATAATTTATTTTAATTGCATTGTTTATTTAAAACATATTAGATAATATCATACCTTATAGCATGTATTCAAACAGATCCCAACTAATTTGAAATTAAATTAAAAATATATATAAATTGTATAGTTTTTGTTAATATAAACTAATCATATATATTTTTAATTTTAATTTAAAGTAGTTGAGGTCCGTTGAGACACATGTTATTTATAATTTATGTAATCTTAATTTTATTTGTAAAGGTGTTGCTCAATAGTATTTGTTACATGTAAAACTTTATGCAACACAAAACATTGTGCAATTCAATTATCTTTTTGTAAATTCAGTAGATTTTTGTATGCTTTTATTGGATTAGTTATATGCATTAGATTAGGTTAGGTTAAGTTATGAATTTATTTCTAATAATTAATTCAAATACAATAAATATTGACAATTTTTACATTATTCTTTAATTTATATATTATTTTATATCTATAATGTATTTACTAATTTCTAAATGTATTATATTTTAAAAAATTTATTGCAAAACATATAAAAATTTGGATTTCTTGAGTAAATAATTGAAATATTTATAGAGTTACACATAGTTAATTATATCTATTATTTTCTTGGATCTTGAAAAATTAAAATACAATATTTTAATTAAATTATCAAGATTAGTTAATAAAAAATAAATATCTTAAACTTAATTGAATAAACAATGGATTATAAACCTATAAAATAATGGCAATGGTATTAAAGTGAGAATGCTTTCATTAAAATAAAAAATATTATTTTGTATTTAAACGACTCTCGTATTTGTTATAAGAAACTAATCTCTTCTTTCATTTTGTTTCAAAACATAGCATTTAGTTAGAGATTATGAAAAGCTTTACTATAAGTGTGGAGTTTTCACCAGTATTCTACAAAATTATAATACAGTACTGTATTAGGAATGAGTTGTTTTGTTTAAATTCAAAATATCGACATACACATTATGAACATAAAACAAATTAACTTTGCAAAAATAATATTTTGATACTGACGTTATAAAATATTTACTTAAATTCACAAATTTAAAAAGTATTTATTCATTTTCACTGATATACATTGTAAATTTACATAAAAATTACTACAAATAAACATCGTTTTATTTATAATAATATAGGTAATATACACACTATATTGTATATTATAAAATAAATACAATACATAAATGAATTATTAGAAATGCATTTAATAAAATTAACTTTTTTAATTGATTAAAACAAACAAATGTCTTCAGACCTCAAAATCAAACTGATTTTTGGCTATTTTTGAATAGAATGTGTCGATAGGAATGCCTATTGATATGAATTATTAAATTATAGTTTTCATAGTTTTAATGGCAATTATATAATTACTCGTATCATATATTGCAGGGGCCAACAGCAGAATTGTGACTGACCCAATCACACAAGCAGCTGTAAATATCCATAGAAATAACCTGGCACACAATATATAAAACATATTTTCACATTATGTCTTTATTTAATAAAATCATAGAATTGGTTATTATGTTATGTGTTATCGCTCCAAAAGTTCTAAGAATTTCAAACATGTTTTAGTTTATTACACACAAAATTTCAATAATCTTATTAAAGCACTATATTTTGTGTAATTCTTACTCATAGTTATTATATGAGAAAGAAATAGAGCGAGAGAGCGAGAGAGAGAGAGAGAGAGAGAGAGAGAAAGAGAGAGGAAAGGGAAGAGTAAGAAAAAAGAGACTAAATCATGACTAAAATAGTGCAAACCTGTCCAAAACCATTGCAACGTATTTCCAGTCTTCTTGAATCTAAAAACAAAGTAAACATTAGAAGAATAGTCATTGCATTTGATTTCCTTTAAAGGGAATTGGATTCATGATTTTAGGCATAAATTGTCTCGCTTATAAGGCATTGAAGTAAAGGACTACAGGTCGATAACAATCTTGTTTAGCATATTATGCCTAAAACAATATTCACTCATATGTTAACTTAAAACAACTACAAATTATTAATTCAAAGTTTGTTTTAGTAAAATTTAAAAGTTTTATATACATCGTATATTATACAATACAAAATTTTAATTTGAAATGTTTTATAACACAAAATGCTATTGTAGTTTACTTATATTATAGAACAAGTTATAAATTGTGTGCTAGCCAAATTATATTATATAAACTATATTAAAAATTCTGGTATTGCTCAGAAATAAACGTTTTTAATATTAACAAAATTATATTTTATTCAATTCTTAAAAAAACTTTAAAAATAAAAAATTGTAATTTAAATTGCTATTATATTTAAAATCATTAATTAATATTTGTATATTGATAGTACTAATACTTTGTAACAATGGATACCTACACTTTTAAATTCATCGGCATTGTCTGTATTAATTGTAAAATAAATAGTTAGTTAATCAAATGTCATATAAGAATGACAAAATATGTAAATCATACCTATGTGATGAGCAATAAACATGGCATTATGTATGACTTGATCGACTTCTTTTGGATAATAACTAGTGAGTGGTTCAAAAAATGGTAGGACAGGACTAGCGTCCAAGTCCTGTATAATGAGCTCTTCTCCGGAACCAGAGGTCGGGAATATATTTGTTTGCTGGGGAACTAATGCCCGCATTTTTGCACATTTGAAATCTTTGATCATATAGGGGTCAGACTTAATTGGCGCACAGTTAGCACAGTTAGATGGGTCTAACAGATTAGCCAAATCTGTAGCTGCCTTTCCATTGTTTGGTTTAATATCATCATTATTTTCAAGTTTGTATTGTGGAGGCCTCATGAGTAGGAGTTTTGGAAGAATTCTAATAAAAACTTTGCGAACCCACGGCGCCTACATGTGTCATATGTTTGCATATTACTATTACTTGTATGATAAATATTGAATCAAATGGTCATACCATCCGATGTGTAGACGGAGATCGGAAATGTATATTTAGCACAAGTATTGTTACGACCACTGTTTAATTGAGAGTTTATTTTAAAGCGATCAACTAAATGTTATAATAAAACTACTGATAAACTACTAATAAACGTACTGTACTGTACCTGAACAGGTGACCAAAACCATTGTGAACACTAAGTATTTGCCTAATAAAGGCATTGTTAACGAAGTCGAGGGAATAGTTTCGAGTAAGACGAGGAAGAAGAAAGTGAGGGAAAGCATGATAGACACCGATAGAGTCACCTAACATACAGACATACAGACAGTTCATTACAATGTTAGACAATCTGTACATTCATTTAACTCTAACTCAACTCTCATTCAATTATAAATAACTACTGAAACACACCTTTTCTCCGGAATCTGAGGGCAAATAAAAGACGAGTACTGAAAGACATGATATGCCGACACAAGGAATGATGAGATTTACCTTATTATATGTAATTGAGTATAGATTGAGTAAACAAGTGATTTGCTGTAATTAATAACAAATACCGTATAAAACAATGTCTTTCTTCGGAGAGTAATATTGAAAGTGACGTCAATATAGGGTTCGGGACAACAGCTATAATACTTAATCCTCTTCATGGCCGGCACTGTCATGATATCCCACTCGACATTGATATAGAATTCCGATAAATCCATCCCATAATCAACTACACTCTCTGCATCTGAGTCTATCGTATCAATTGTATTCATATGTTTTAGATCCACCTAAACATCACATTCATCTTAATATCATTTGAATATATTGAATCCTAAACTCTATTATAAATACTTTATCGCCATCGTATCTGTGAAATGAATTTGAATAAAATTATACAGAATATGAGAATCAATGCATACATTATCGCAATTGCATGAAATGTTTTTGTATATTAAACTTACGTCCAGCTCCCGAATTTCATAAAGCATTCTAAAAAAATAAATTTATAAAACAAATATACATTATTAATATGAAATGGTCATGGTAAGCAATAAATATTTGTTAAAATTCTTTGAATGTGATTCATAATTATTCTATTCATGAGTGTTTAAAACGTGAGCTGTTATGTGATTTAAAATAAAGTCAATATTTAAAGAAGAAACTATGTTTTCAGTATTACAATACAGTATATCTAGAACCTATCAAAACAACATACAGTATAATGATCTGATATATATTTGTATTAATATAAACAATCATGGTGAATATTTGAATTGAATAATATTGAAATTGACAACAATATTATTGATATAAATAATCTCTGAGCTGGTAAACTCTTAAAGGTTAATATTAATAATTTATAGCCCCTTTAGTATAATATGTGTTAAGTGCCAAACGATAATATGATAAGAGGACAATATAAAAGAATGTATGAATGAGACATACCCTGCTGATCAAATGGGAAGTAATTTATATCTATATTACATGAACTTTTATAAATTGCCGGTGGATTCCAAACTACTTTCCCGTTGTCGTGCTGTCATACGAGTCAATCATTTTAGACATAAATTAAAGTTTTAAAATCAAATAATTGCTTACAATTATTGCTTTTGTCATTATTGTCACCTCATAATTGCCATCAGCACTAAATTACAAAATTTAATTACTAATAATTCAACATTTGATTAAATTGTAATCAATTTTTAAAGTTTTATTTATATTAAAATAAAACAACACTAATTCACAATAGAGTATAATATTACATAAAAATACAGTAGTTAAAACTTATAAAAATTTAAAAACTCCTATATTTTATAAATTTAAATTTATCGATTTGTCAAATATTTATAAATCATATTATTTTGTTTGCAATGATTTGCAGAAATTCTGTATTTTAAAAATATTTTCCGAAACAGTATTTGAGGTATATAGTGTTATTTGATCAGTAATCATAATACTGTACAGTATATGAACAGAATTGTAAATTTGTGTATATTATACCTCTTTGAGAGAACTAACATTATATGGATACAGAATTGATACTTTGATACGTTTGTAACTTTTGTTAGTCTGAGACTCTAAATCATAGTCTAAATATCTTAGGGTTTCTACTTTAATCTTCATAACTTTGTTTGTTTATGTTTATCAGGCAATGGTGTGACAATACAGTTATTTCAATGGTTTGCTGTGAATAAAGATATGGAAGCGATGGAAGCAATGGAAGCAGTGATGCACCGGTTTGTCTGTATATCCGTATAGTATATTACAATCTACTGTTCCCTCTATTGTGTGCAATCACTAGGAATTGTAAGCATTCCTTGGATTCCCAGCGCATAGACTTCAATACATTTGCAAAGATCTCACCATTAATTGCAAGTCGAGCTCTACTGAGCGTTCATTTGTTACGTCCATATGGCTTACAATTACAAAGTTATGGCAGCATTCCTTGGATTCCCAGCGCATAGACTTCAATACATTTGCAAAGATCTCACCATTAATTGCAAGTCGAGCTCTACTGAGCATTCATTTGTTACGTCCATATGGCTTACAATTACAAAGTTATGGCATTCAGTGCTTAATGTTTGCAAAGCTTTACTCTTTATTTGTATTATTTTTGGAATTTCATCCAAATTCACGATTTGCGACAAAATTTAATTTAATTCTAGTTTATTTAATTGTAGCATATTTTGCAGGTCGTCTACAAAGCGCCGCATGTTTTGTATGAGACTTTATGTTTGCAAAAATCAGATACTCTTTTGTATAGTTTAGTTGAATAGAGAAAATTTACTATAACTGTATTATAACTATAATTTATATAACTGTAAATACTTATAAATAGTTATGTCTTACTTATTGTAGAGAACAATATCTGGTAACCAGATCTCCTCTGCCGGTACATACAGTTGCGATACACCGCCATATTCCTCGGGATCCCATTTCAAGAATTTCTTCCAAATTCACGATTTGCGACAAAATTTAATTTAATTCTAGTTTATTTAATTGTAGCATATTTTGCAGGTCGTCTACAAAGCGCCGCATGTTTTGTATGAGACTTTATGTTTGCAAAAAAATCAGATACTCTTTTGTATAGTTTAGTTGAATAGAGAAAATTTACTATAACTGTAAATACTTATAAATAGTTATGTCTTACTTATTGTAGAGAACAATATCTGGTAACCAGATCTCCTCTGCCGGTACATACAGTTGCGATACACCGCCATATTCCTCGGGATCCCATTTCAACTTATGGTCCATCCATTCCTGGCATAAGATATGGGATAACGTTATATCGATTTCAATATAAAGAGCAATCTATGAGACGCTTTGAGAGCACATCAATATTAATGGTTTGTGAAAATCAATGAAGTCTTGCATTCAATTCTAATGTATTCTTCAATCAAATCTTAAACAATCAAAAGACTCGACATTTTTTATTTGGATATTAAATAAATAACAAACAGCATCCAACATTTTTAGGAAAATTAAATTTAAAAAATAATTAACAATAATTCATACCTGATTAACCCATACGTTTGTTGTCATTATTTGATTTTTAAGATTCTGTTCATAAAACACTATATTCAGTATTTTCTACCAATAGTTTAGTCATTGATATAAACACTGACCACATCTATGAGTTGTGATAATTTTAATCCCATCTTAACCGTCAGTTTATCACTAAAATGATCAAATTAATTGAATTAAAAATTCAATTTTAATATATAATTTTTAAATGGATATTATTTTATATACCTGTTGTTATAAACCGGTCGAATAAGTCGATTATAACTGTAAATGAATAAAAGATTACGTTAAATGTTGTTTATATGTAATAATATTAATTTCTTAAATAATATGATATAATCTAATATAAGATTTAATATGACTTCAATATTCTATATTTCATATAATGTTTAGTAGTTTAAAGAATATAGGTTATTAACAATACTGTATAAATAGCATCTTTATTATTTAATACTTTTTGAATTTTTAAATTCAAATTTATATAATATAATTTTAATATTAAGAATTACAATTTACCTTGATAATAAATCATCATATAATCTTTTTGCATCTAGAAGCACAGTAATTCTTTAGATATAAATATTTATTAACAATTAAAACAGTATGAACAGACCTGGATTACAGTGAATTGATTTTAAACAAAACACTATAATTAATATTTGGGTTTTAATGCAGAACATATTGTTGTATTTATTAAATAATTATTTATTTAATTAAATTCAAGCAATATTTATAATTAAAATTAACAATAACACATAAATTCTGATAATCTTGAATGAAAATACTAGGAATTCAATGATTCAATGTTTTGCGCAAAATCTCCAATTTCTGAGCAGAGAGAGAGTTGATGTGATGGAATGGATGCTGACTTTACGCAAAATCTTCTAACAGTGAAGTGATTGCACACAATAGAGGGAACAGTAGATTGTAATATACTATACGGATATACAGACAAACCGGTGCATCACTGCTTCCATTGCTTCCATCGCTTCCATGTCTTTATTCACAGCAAACCATTGAATCATTGAATTCTTAGTGTTTTTATCTAGATTATTAGAATTACAATTATTGTGAATTACAATTATAAATATTGTTTAAATTATACTTAAATACTTAAATAATCAACTGTTTGTTTATAAAACATAACAATAATGTTTGGGTTTAAAATAATAGTATTAATTTTAGTGCTATATTTCAAATCAATTCACTGTAATGCAGGTCTGTTTATATTGTTTATGTAATAATTGTTTGATAATAAAGATTTTATGTGATTATAGACGCAAAAAGATTATATGATGATTTACTGTCAAGGTATGTTAAATTATATAATATATATTTACAAAAAATATTATTAATTATTTTTCAAAAGATAAATTTATAGGACTATATTAGTTATTATAAAAATTATATTAAAAACCATTTTTTGCTTGATATTCAGCATGATATTATATTACTGTATTATATAAGTTAGTTTTATTACATTGAACATTTTTGTATTAATTAAAATGAATTAATAAATTTAAACTTTTACTTATTTACAGTTACAATCGAGCTATTCGACCGGTTTTTAACAACAGGTATATAATATATTTTAATTTATGATTTTCATATAATTTAATTGTTTTTAATAATTTTAGTGATAAACTGACGGTTAAGATGGGATTGAAATTATCACAACTCATAGATGTGGTCAGTGTTTATATCAATGACTAAACTATTGGTAGAAAATACTGAATATAGTATTTTATAAACAGAATCTTAAAAATCAAATAATGACAACAAACGTATGGGTTAATCAGGTATGAATTTTTGTTAAATTTTTTCATTTAAAAAAGATTCAATTATTCAATATTTGATGCAATATTTGATTTGCAAGAATCGGAATATTTTGGAATTTCTGTATTAAATATTTGATTTAATTTTCAGAAATTATGTCATCTATTATATAACTGATATTATAATTGAATATAAATGCAAAGTGTTTTTTCCCAAATGTTCCTGATTTTGACATATTTTTTGATAATTCCCGAATCTATGCTATTTTCCAAATATTTCCATATAAAAGATTTTTTCTATGAGTTATCTTATATTGTTTACAAATTTTTCATTTAATATATTTGAGTAATACCTTACATTGTCAGTTGATTTTAATAACTATTTGAAGAGACATTTTATTGTTTGTGATAATAATAGATTTTATAATATAAATATAAATATTTATATTGAATACTTTTTGCACTGAACAAATACTGTACTAAGAATTACAGAATTATGTTACAACCATGCTGATATAATAAGAAAGAATGATAAATATATGAACGAATTTTAAAATTATGTATCAATTTATTCAAATCATTAACAAAATGTATTACTAATAATACAATATATCTAATCACACCAGTATATTGTAATCATGGGAAGATATACTTTTTCATTAAATCTCTGAAATGACCGAGGTGTAATTTGTATTATATGTAATATCTAATTTATTATAAGGAATTTATACAGTACTACTCTATTTCTGATGTATCTATCTCAATTACGGTACTCCTAGATACTTTAATTTAAATTGTTATTTTCATAATTAAAGATTTTGTATATCCCTCTAATAAGTTTTGCGGAAATTGTGCATATGTCTTGCTAATCATAAATTATTATCATTTAGTTAATTATAATTTTTATTATTTATATTCAATTAATCCTTAAATTATAGACTATATAAGACAACTATAAACTAAAATTTAATTAAGCTCATTTCAAGTATTTTAATATATTATCTTTAAAAGAGTTGACTATCTATGATATACCGGTGCATTGTATAAAAACAAATTTAAATGTCTATCTTATTATAAAATGAATTAATAGTAATTTAATCTTTATTCAATTTTTTAACGAAATTTCAAAAACATTAAAATTATTATATAAATCATTTAATACATTAATTTCAATATAAAATTCATAAAAAAAATGACTTGAATATTTAATTGTAGATTATATTTGTGTATTTAATTTGTGCTTAAATCACAACATTTTGGTATTAATTTAATAGCCAAATAAAAAATGTCGAGTCTTTTGATTATTTAATATTTGATTGAAGAATACATTAGAATTGAATGCAAGACTTCATTGATTTTCACAAACCATTAATATTGATGTGCTCTCAAAGCGTCTCTTTATATTGAAATCGATATAACTTTATCCCATATCTTATGCCAGGAATGGATGGACCATAAGTTGAAATGGGATCCCGAGGAATATGGCGGTGTATCGCAACTGTATGTACCGGCAGAGGAGATCTGGTTACCAGATATTGTTCTCTACAATAAGTAAGACATAACTATTTATAAGTATTTACAGTTATA